ATTCTCTCCGTGCCCAGGGTACTTGGCATGCAGTGTGGCCAACTGAATTATCCAATGTGACTACATCCCAACTCAGGGATAACGAAGGTGCCAGTCGTGGGGAATTCCTTTCTAACGTATCCTCTCTGAGCATTAAGTGACCTGAGTATTTGGCTTTGGGGGCATTGCTATCAGTGGATTTCCTACGGCCAACAATTTCTTTCATGTGCAATTTGCCGAGAATGAAATTAAGCCAAATTATTTCCACTGTTATTCACATGATTACCTGGGACATAGCAGTTTTGTGTTACATATATGTTAGGGTTCCCCGGATATTACACAATTTGTTCAACAGGGTTTAACCCGCTGTGTATAAAGCCCACTTTTTATGAGTATAATGAAACCCTGATGCTGAAGTGATCCTTAGTGAGGATCGACTCCGACTCCTCCATACAAACAAAAACATGTCTTTCTTTAAAGTACCAAACCCAGAAGAAGATGCCAGAGTGGTGTTTGAAGTTCTGAAACGGGGCGGTATTGCGATTATTCCGATGAGCGTTGGCTACGGAATCACTGCGATCGATCCAGATGCATTGGACAGGATTTTCCGCACAAAACGGAGAGAGCCACACAAGCGACATGCAATGGTCGGCAGCTATATCCTGCATCAGGATATTCATGTCCTTCCTCCCCAGGAAGCTGGTATGGTCAAACTCTTGACCGTGGACTTGGAACTTCCTCTAGGGATCGTTGCGCCATATCGCTTTGATCATCCGATTATTCAAAAGCTTCCACCAAACCTGTTAGCACAGAGCGTTGTTGGGGACACTCTAGCAATGTTGGTCAACGGCGGTGCTTTGTTAGAAGAATTATCTCGGCTTGCTGCCCTAGAGAAACTTGCTCTCATGGGATCTTCGGCCAACATCAAAGGCAAGGGAACAAAGACGGTGGTTGAGGATATTGAGCCGGAGATCCTTGAACTGGCGGATATAGTTATCGATTATGGGAGACAAAAGTTTCACCTTCCTCGAGCCTCTTCAACCATGATCGATTTTAGAGCAATGAAGGTTGTGCGATGCGGGGCTTGTTACAATGTGGTGCAGGATGCTCTCTGGCGATTCTATGGGATCAAAGTGCCGGATGATCCTGGAACATCGACTCTTCCCTCTGGACAGACATGACCTAATCCCCTATTTCTACTCTGAGTACAGAATTCGATACTTAGCTTAGGGTTTGCGGAATGTGGGACACCGATAATATAACTATCCCAAAATGAAGTAATACGATGGCTTTGCTTTGCGTGTCCACCATTTCCCTCTCTGAATATAGGGCTTAGGGTTTAGGATAAGACAAAGGCGAGATAAACGTCAAAAAAGGCTGTTCTCTCCTACCTATATTAGGGTTAATGTAAATATTGGATATGGTGTCGTCCGTGTAGAAGGATGTATTGGTAAGAAAAATCCAATCGCTTTCGACGTCCGTATATTATCTAGTAAGAATTACCAGAGCTGGGTACAAATATTCGAGCCCGGACCTTCGGCCCAAAGTTGGGCTTTGCGGAAGTCTAATTCCTACCATATTTATATAGTATCCAAAAATTACATATAGTCATATATCACTAATGGAATTACCACTGCAGGGCTAAAGGCGCTAGCGCAGTTAGGATGTCATCCATAGATCCATCCATACGCCTCTAGCTTATATAATAATTCAGAGTTCACATTGACTCATACCGGCTGAACCAATTATACTTCCTTGGATAAGTCTACCAATAGAGAACCAATTGAACGATGGAACCTAGGCCAGCTTAAGCCGCTACCAGCCCGACCAGCATGTCTTCTAGACAATTGTTTTAGTACACACAACCCTCCAATACTCACAGTCCAAGAAGCATGGGCTTATGAGAATACCGCCCAAACCAAGGAAAAGGATTCATGGATATAAAAGGACATTAGGGGCGCTAAAATAATCGCGTATGTGACTTTATCGGACTACAAGTTGGACAATGATGATGGGCTTACCACGTCTAAAGGCTGACACGTTGGATTATAGAACATAAAGTCGCATACATTTCGGCATTGGACCAAGTTGGTGTTATTCAATGACTTTTCCGAGGGCCTTCCTTTATACAAAATATCTACTTGCCTGTCACCCTGTTGGGATACGAAGAAACACAAGGCAATCAACACTTGCAGAAAGCATACTTGGGCTTCATATTCCCGTCTGAGCTCATGTTGAAGTGAGATATTTCAAAGAACATATCTAAAACTTTCAATCTCGTGGTCGGTCTTGTTAGACAGCTCATCTTCCAGTTCTTCAGTTTCAGTCATCTCCCTAGGAGACCCATACAGCCTATCCCGCCGACGGTTCTCCAAGGCATAAAATATATAGAGGCAGATCAAGAAGAATATTCCGAAGGCGAGCCCTGCCATAGACGCTTTGATGCCGGTCTTATCAAGTTAGTACTCAGGAGGTAGGGATATGTTATGAGAGTGAATTACTGACTGAATATAACGGTTCTTCCGAAGGGATGAAGAACTGGGGCCCAGCAATATTGCCAATGCAGTACGCTGCGAACATAAGGGCGCTGACCGTGCTCTTCTTAGTAAACCCCGCGACATTCGAGCTGATTAGACTGAGGGATAAAGGGATATTGGCAGCGAAGACACCGCCGAGGCAGAGACCCGTCATCTTCCCTGCCTGATCATCACCATCTAGCTTCCAGATCAGAAGCATACCAATCATCGATACCGCTGTATTGACGATCATCATGATAATGCGAGACTTTGGAACAAGGGAAGCGAAACCTGAAGTAAAGAGGAGAAAGACAAGCTGAGCACCACCGATAGGCATCTGAATGAGAAGGGCCTCTAGATGGGGGAATCCAAACCCGGTGATAATGATAGCAGAGAAACTTGTGATGCCACCGTTGCAAAAGTTAACACAGAGTGTGTAAAGCACTAAAAACCATGTTTGTAGATCTTTGATTGCCATTAAAACTTGGCCCCATTTGAACTTCCCTGTGTCCAAAACTCCAGTCTTGTTCTTCAATGTTCTGTGGACTGCGATCGCCCGTTCGTTTGGTTTGAGAAAGGCAGCTTTCGCGGGTGAATCCGGTAGTGCAAAGAATAAGACGACGCCGTAAGCAGAAGTGACGGCGCCCAAGATAAGAAACAACAATTGCCATTGGGCGATAGCTGTGATGTGAATATTCCCAATACCGTAGGCAATCAGCCCACCGAGAAGAACAGCAATGGAATTGCCAACAAACCATGCTGCCTGGCGTGATGGCTGCTCCGCCCTTGTATAAAACATTCCCGTTATCAGGGCAAAGCCAGGAGCAATCGATGCCTCTGTCCAAAAGGTATTTATTAGCCGTGTCCAAAAGATTATTGGTATAGGAATCCCTACCCCCAACCCCTAAAAAGAATCTCGCTGCCATTAAACCACCCCAGTTTGTGCAGGCAGCGTGAACCATCAGACAGCCTCCCCAAACACAAACAGCACCACTGAGATATTTGCCCAATGGAAGCCTGGAACCAAGTACTTAGCATACGCCATTATGGGTCACCTCTCAAACGTACCTCACAGCCAGATATGAACTCGGCCAACTCCATGAGAAATAACCAAAATAGAAAATGGCTGATGCCCAATTATATTCATTTCCTTTCAGGTCCTAGGAAAAAGGAGCGGTATTAGACCCTACCAGAGCTGATTGAGGAGAAGAGAAGGGACATACCAAGTCCTCCCGAAGATTGAAAAGGGTCGCCTGGCTAATTGCTAGTTTGTCGATGTACTGCAACATGTAGCAACCGCCCATAAGCGGTATTAAAAAAAGGTCTAATTTTCTTAGAACCTTCTTCTCCATTGCAGGCGTTGTTTCAACCTGAAGTACTTGTCCAAAGTCCACATCGCGAGCAGCAGAGATGGACTCAACCTTGAGTGTTCCAAAATCTGGTCTGGTATCTCCGGATGGGAGCTGTTGTTTCCCCATATTGAGTGGTCCAAGATAAATAGAGAATGAGAGATGGGAAAGGATATCAGAAGTAGAAAGACATTGACTTGGTATCAATTTATGGGCATCTCAGGCTGACTATATGGCTTCGAGGACAAGATGGCCAAGCCCGATCAAACTCAACGTGGTGGTGACACAAAAAATACGATAATAGTCGATAGGTAACCAAGGCCAATGATTTCCTTGAGTTATCGAGTCAACATTACCCTGATAAGCGTTGGTTCTACTTTAACAAAAGGCGGGGATGACGATATCATTCGCAATAAACACGGCAGGCACGATTGTATTGAGTTCTAGATGCCGAAATATGATCCATGTATCTTTTTATTGTAGTCAGCTGCTACCCTTTGTATAGAATTCGAGAGGAGCAGAAGATTGGCATTAGAATATCGGCAGTCTAGCGAATCATATTGCACGTCGGCTAATTAGATACTATCTAATGCCCATCGGCAACCCACTTTTTATCTACAGCCCCGAGTAAAAAGGGGAAATGAAAATCACGCATGGTCTCTGCTAGGATTGGACTACAAAGGGTGAAAGAAGAAAACTGGAAAATAGAACGAGCCCTAAAATGGCACGACCGTGGGAATTCGATAGGAAACTTCAGTAAGTGTTTGCACAAGGCTAAGCCATGCTAAAATTACAATAGAGGATACATACATACCCCGGATTCACTGATCTGTGGAGATTGCCGACGGCTCTCGCCAAGCTCGCCAATATGGATGATAACAGTCATTCCATGACTCTACCTCTATTGTCACATTGAAAGGGACTTATCTCCAAGTAATCATATTGGCGATAGGGTAAAGTTCGGCTTAGATTTCCGCGTCGCCTTCCCCTCTTACCCTGTCATCGGCAAACGCCATGCAGATACGCATTACAAGCCCCAATCCGGTTTCGCTTTTGAAGGTTGCTTATATTTAAATAGGTACGATCCTAGCGTTTCTTTTGGCAAGGATAATTCCAATTTAACACATCTAGAATTGAGAAAGACAGTTAAAGCATTATGACTCTTGCAGCCATCAATATTGAAGAAGTGAAGATCTGTACAGATGCCGCACTCGAGGCACTGCAGAAGGAGTTGCGGGTATTGAACCATCAGGTATATTCATGCTCCTGGTCAGATATTTTTATCTACAAGGCTAACAAGTTTGGTGGCGGTTATCAGATCTGGTCAAACCCTGAGCTTGCCTACCAGGAGCACCACGCCCACGATACAATTTGTGACTTCCTCGAAGAACAAGGCTTTGCCGTTACTCGCCACGCCTATGGGCTTGATACATCCTTTGAGGCTGTGGTCGGAACTGGTGGGCGATTGATCAATTTCAACGCCGAATATGACGCATTACCTGGAATTGGGCATGCCTGTGGTCACAATCTAATAGCGACAAGCAGTATCGCTGCATTCCTTGCGCTGTCGTTTGCCATCAGGAAATTTAATGTCCCCGGTAGAGCTCAGCTATTAGGAACACCGGCTGAGGAAAATGGAGGCGGAAAGGCGAAATTGATTGATGCTGGTGCCTACAAAAACGTCAACATCTCGCTAATGGCGTAAGAATCGGATCTCGCACCCTCACATAGGAAAGGAAAGGTTCCTGCTGACTTAGTTTGGAGTCATCCTGGACCCAAAAAGATTTACCCTGACCAAGAGCCATCCGATGGCATAGCTGGAACGCCAATGAATGCGCGCAAGAACATCCATTGTGAGTCGCTTGATGCAAGTCCTCCTATAGCATGCTGATGAACATAATTCAATACAGGCGAATTCACTGGTAGGAATGCTCACGCCGGTGGAAACCCGTGGGAAGGGATCAACGCGCTTGATGCCCTGGTCTCATCTTATAACAACGTTGCGGTTCTTCGACAGCAGCTTCTTCCGGATCAGCGGGTTCATTGTGCTTTCTTGGACACACCCAAGGTAGCCAACGTAATCCCAGATTATACGAAAGCTTTCTGGCAGGTGCGGAGCCCTACCCTGAAGGGATTGAATGTCCTTGTCAGCAAATTGCGCAATTGTATTGAGGCTGGTGCTTTGGCGACTGGATGTCAAGTCAAGATTGATGAGTATGTAATCCATTTATGGTCACCAGCCCACCTGCCTACATGGCTTGAGGAAAATGAGCTACTAATGTGTTTGCTTCAAGGGATGAACTCTATACCGATGTTCGGTTGAATGACACTCTCTGTGAGCGCTACCATGTCCACATGGGACGGTATAGTCGCAATGTTCTCAAACGCCATGACAAGGTCCTAACAGGATCGTCAGATATTGGTATGTGGGAGGATAATATTCCGTTTGATTGACCGAACTAACCCATGTACTTCAATAATAGGGAATGTTAGCTACGAAACCCCTACGCTTCATACAATGTTTGCGATTCCCGCTCCTAAATCTTCATTTCCACATCACCCGACGTTTGCAGCTGCAGCTGGAACAGATGAAGCTCATGCCGAGGCGTTAATTGTTGGGAAGTCTTTGGCATTGACTGGTTGGGATATGATTGTGGAGAACGATATGTATGATTTGTCGCGGCGTCAATGGAGAGAAGAGATTGCGCGGGAAGATTAAATGTATGTTGAGCGGAGAGATAGTATATACATCTGCCCACCGAACTGTATGAAAAAATATATTTTGCCTTTCCGAGGAAAACCTCCAACGTCATGATGACTCAGCCTTCCCCGCGTTATCTTATCGGCTTCGGCACTGCCCAGGTGAGATCGCTATCCCAACACCTTTGAATTATTTGACAGGAATCAATTCCCGCTCTCTTTAATCTTTTCGCTCATGCCTGCAGGTTGAGCCCTGCTGGTTCACGTCCATGCAGGGTTTGGGACGTAATGGACCACGTTCCAAGAGTGGTAGGATTATTCCCTTTTTACTTTCTTTCCCACATGACCGACTAACCCACTTCTCGGTAGGTTGTAGTACCTGCCGCCGTCGCAAGGTCAAGTGCGGAGAAGAGAAACCAGTTTGTGCAAGATGTTCATCCCTCCGCCTCAATTGCGAATGGGGTGTCCCAGTGAAGCGTGGGCGAAGCACGCAAATCCGACATCTTGAACCTGCACCGGGAAGCTCCGAACAACCTAAAGCCGAGGACCTTGCCGGGTTTCAACCAGATGCCCTTTTTACAAGTCTCTCGCCGGTCTCTTGGGCATCCGACGCTCTTTCATTTGACCAATTCAATCCGGCACCGATTCCGACCCCCATATACCCGTCTTTAAACGTCGATGTCGCGTGCGCCAATTCGTTGACACTCACGTCTCTTGATCGGCAATACTTCCAGTACTTCCCTTCTTCCTCGCTCGTATTTTATTACATGAAGAGATGGAAGTGGAGTAGCTTATGGTAAGACTTTCAGTGTGAAATGAGCTTGCCGTTTACTGAGAGCCTGGCTAATTGGACACCCGAAAAATAAATTAGCCATCTTTACGAAGGGCCAGCTGCATCCAATAGAGTCATTATGCGGATGATACTAGCGCTAAGCGCATGTGATATGCATCGCAATGGGCTGATTGTTCGCTCTCAGGATCATGGCCGGTATCATTATAGCCAAGCGGTCAAAGAATTTAGGCAATTGCTCGAGACGCCACGCCAGGTTTCCTTGGATGATGTCGAGACAGTTTTTGCCACTGTTTTTTTGATGATAGCTTGGGAGTGGCAGTTCGGACACTCAGTGCGCCACGTAAGAATGCTCTTGTTTTACTCATTTATCAATCGGCTAACGGAGCAAAGCTTCAACTCCACCTGCAGGGCGTACGCTCACTTTTGGAAACGCATCCGCAACTATTCCGCATCAAAGATGTGAATGATATGTTCTCCCCTCCCAGATCCAATATATTGGCCAGTGGCACCATGGCCATTTCCAAGGTCTCGTTCATTCCGGAGCAGTTTTTGCTGTGGATTCTGTGAGTTTTTTTTCCCCAGCAGTCGTACAAATTACCACCACTAACAAACAAACAGATATATCGATGCTAGCTGTCGTCCCATTGGTCTTACGGAGTCACTCAACGATTATGTGGCCCAGTCTGGGAATCCCGCTTTACAACCAGACCATCTTCATCGCTGTGCTCGTCTCTGGGGACGATGCTTTTGGGGCGAGCAGTATCCCGACGAGGAAGTTCTGGACGATATCGAAAACCATAGAGCTCTAGAGCTGTTGCATGCGGGATTCTGTCTACGCTATCGAACTTGGAAGGTCCTCATCGAACCCGCGGCTGGTACCGCCGAGTCCACAGAACTCCTTTTCCGGGAGATCCTTAACATCAGAGATGTCAGTACAGATGCCACTCCAGAATCTTGGGGAGAGTTCAACTTATTGTGAATTAGAAATTCTCCGATCTTTTCATCACCGCGAGATTTGCCGGTAGTGTTTCCGCTCGACGTACGCTCAATACCATATACATGGCCGTTTCTACCTTTTACGGCCAGATTCTCCTCCACCGTCGGCTTCTCTGCGTCAATACTTTGCCCTCAGCCATTCACCATCAAGCCACCGCGGGAATCATTGACATTTGTCAAAAACAATTTTGGTCTGATCCAAAGCTCCTTAGGCGTTTACACTTGCCGCTATTGATGGCAGTGATTGAAACCAATGATATAACACATCAGAGATGGCTGCGTCAACGTCTATGTGAACTGCGTGACTTTCATTCCGAGTTTGTTTGGGCGCATGATGTCGCCGAGCACATCCTGTCCCGACAAGGCGTGAGCCAGGGACGATATGTCAATCTGGCCGAACTTTTACTAAAGCGTTTTCATGCGCAGTGAAGCCCTTGTTGTACATCTACCGTAAATAATATCTTGTATCTTAACTCATATATGTCGTCAATCCGCTTTTGTTTCTCAGGCCACGTCCCCTTCGCCTTCATAATGCCTCATCCACCTGTACTCCTCTTGAGACGGAACTAACACGCGCTAGAAATGATTTGCTACCATTTATCAACCGCCGAAGTGTATCCGGGGGCTCGCTCAATTTTCTTTGGTGTTATTCGCTTGGTATAGTTACAGCCATAAGTAGAATGAGTGCCGTCATGAGTTTCGATGACATCTTCACAGGCGCCTAGGTATACTCCTGCTCAACCAACACAACTCCTGTCCTCGAATTCCTACATGAAATCTATTGGTTACCCCCTGGAAATATCTCTATAATTGGATTCGAGGGGAAAGCACCGCCGTTGACCATAAGCACTTACAAGTCAGTAGAAATATTTCACTGAACTTGGTTTCTCGAGAGCCATGCATTTATGTTGAAGGGGGTCTAGAACTTCTTTCCGAAGCTATTAACAATATCGTTATTCAAAGTCCATGCCAGTAGATTCCTATCATAATCTGCTGCCAACTGGGCAGGAGGCCCGACAATTGGAATTTGTGCCCCTGATGCACATGTCATGTCTTTCCCTTCTCATGGCAAACATACGTTTGGTGTTTGAGGAACCCAGCGAAAAACTTGTCGATTTCAAGATAATCGCTTGGATCTATAATGGCAGACACATCTAGCGGATCGAAAGCGTTAGTTATGTGTGGTTATCTCACAACCTTGTCCTGGCTTACATTGATCTGGCCGAACAATGATAAGAGCACCTTGTGCCGGGTCAATGCCGAGATGTTCGTATGCATGGCCGTGTCCATCATTGTAACTCTCGTCGTCGTAATAAATCTTGTGTAGATCTAAAAAAGAGTGCTCTAGGTTAGAGATATAGTGGGACGATTGGATATTGGAGCATCTGCACCTCTCGTTTGATTTCTTCCAGACACTGGATAAAAGCACTCAGGGATCTGCTCTAACTCGATGCCGTGACGCTTTCCATGTCCGATCAAGATGATCTCGATGAGGCTGTCGATGTCTTGATCCTTGGGGGTAAATGTGTGGATGGGCCCGTCGGCCGCGCTCAAGTATTCTCCCAGCTATATATAATGCATTAGATTAGGCCCAGCAAACAGTTCCATAGTGGCAAAACAGACCTCGTTGAGCTTTGCGTGACTTTCTGGTACAGTCAGGTCACCAATGAAGGCCATGATACGCCACCGACCATCAGATTTGAGAGACTTCATGAGATGTAGAGGCTTAGAGTCACAGAATCTCACAACCTGTGCACTGGGAAGCCGCATACCAACGACCACATTAGAGGCGAGGTTGGCCGATTCCAATGCAGAGGTGATGGGTGAGACCTCATACTTGGCTGTTAAGCCTGCGGTATATTTGCCAGACTTGATGAAGCCTTCTTGGAACTCGGCAGGAGAAGTTGAGGCCCCCGAAGAAAACAAGTTGGAGAAATAACGGTCAAACTTGATCAGGTCAATGGCCACCTTTTGACGTTCTAGGACGTAGGTCTCCAGAAGTGAGGGACTGGCGAGACCAGTCAAAATCTCCCCAAGCTTCCAGCCAATGTTGTACCCGTCTTGTAAGCTGACATTCATACCCTGGCCGGCTTTGGGGGAATGGGTGTGGCAAGCATCCCCAGCGAGGAAGACGCGGTTATCCTTGTGGAAGAAATCGGCGTGACGCTGGCCGATAGCATATGCCGACCACCAGATTGTTTCCACAAAGTCTACCTTATAAGGGTGGAAGATGCTCTGCGCTTGGGCCTGCAGATTCTCAAGAGTCACCTCCTTCGGATTGGTTCCTGGGGCAAGTTCAATATAGAACCTTGTCAGGTTGTCACTATCGCCTTCGCGGGGAATAATCAACACATTTCCGGATTTTGAGCGAATAGTAGACTTCTTGCGAATGTCGGGGAAATTTGTTCTGGGCACCATATCCATAACACCCCAGACGGCGTCGCTGCTATCTCCAATCATTTTGTACCCGAGGGCTTTGCGGACAATGCTGTGTGCCCCATCACAGGCCTGGTGGGTTTCAGGTCAGAAAGCGTCTAGAACCTCAAAGGAAACGAGTACCTACTAGTGCATATTTTGCTGCAAAAATTTGTATCTTTCCGTCCTTTTCTGCAGTGACTTTGACCGGATAGGCATTGTGATCCTCGGTAGTGATGCTGTCAACTTTGACATCGGTCACATTGTAGCCATAGTCAATTTGTTGACCGTTATATTTCTGCATCAGCTCGATGAGGAGTCCGTTGATACGTGCCTGGTTCAGAATAACATGAGGTTGGTGTGATAGACCTGGTTGGGTATCCGCCGTCCGCCCTGTCCGCTGGATGGTGCCTGTGCCATTGTCGGCCCAAAAGTTGACCTCTAGAACGTGGTAAGCCTCACGAAGAAGCTCTTCCCCAATTCCAAAGCTTTCAAAAATCTCCACTGTGCGACATTGTACACCGTCGGCTTGACCCATCTTCATGGGACCACTCCGCCGTTCTAGTACCTTGCATCGCACCCCATATTTGGCGAGCCAGGTGGCAGCGCAAAGACCGGCAGACCCACTGCCGCAAATAAGAACATCGACTTGCTCCATTCGTTCAAATGTGTACAGACTGAGATCAAATGTAGTTAGGGCGCGCCGGGACCTTTTATGGTGAATCCGGGATGCGATCCGGGATGAGATCTAAGGCACTTCGGGATCCGTTCCGGAGCGGGACCACATGGAGAAAAAGCCTCGGCAGCCAATCCTTTGTTATTTCTCATGTCACGAACCCATGTCTAGAGCCAGGGAAACTATTCAGATCTCGATTATCTGGTTGATCCAGTGAGAAACCAAACACAAGGCATATGCATCATTAAGTCTGGTCTAAATCATTATATAATGCTCATCCTTTCAAATACCAAACCGAACGCCAGCGCCGGTGCAGAACTCGCATCACATCTTACAAAAAGTACTCGCTGCGCCCTGGCCGTGAAGTTGGAACATGTCGCTGGTCATCGCTGACTGCACTAAATAGCTTGAAGGAGGGCTTGAGATCATCTCCAATTTCACAGACCGAAGCCAGGTTCCCGCATCGGTAGCAGTAATTTGGCGCACTCCACACGGTGACGACATTTTGGTTGTTAAAGTGGTATTTGTAGCCCTCATTGACCAGCTGATGAGCGCGTGCAATCAACGAGAGATCATTGACATGGCAGAACTCATCCGCCACTCTGTCTCCGAATAACCATCCTGGAGAGGATTGTCAGCCATGTGTGTTCCAACCGGAAAAGAAAAATGGGATTCTCACCTGCTCCTCGAGGACTAACAGCCCATGTCTCCACATCGTCTGGGTCAGACCACACGAGATCACAGAAGGCACCTTCGTGGGGAATCTCCTGTGCGCGGGCTACCACGCGCACTTGGTCCAACGTGCGAATCTCAGGGCTCAGACCGCCATGAACACACAACACCTTGCCATCAATAATGGCTCCTAATGTCATGAAATCAAACACCTGGCAACATGCCTTCCATACTGAAGCACTGCCATATTTTTGGAAGCATTCTTCGTAGAAGCCGTATACCTGAGTGATTTGGCGCGACTCGTGATTACCACGAACCAATGTGACTCGATCGGGGTATCTATGAATATCGAAGTCAGCAGGTCAGTCAAGTCCACCGGGAGGTCACACATGTCACTCACTTTGCTTTGAGACAGAGCAAAAGCGTTAACGTCTCTAGACTGAAGTATCCACGGTCCACGTAGTCACCCAGAAATACAAAGTTCCGGTTAAGCTGGAGATCTGCTGATGTATTGCTGGACGATCGGCTTCGGGAACTCGAATCTCCATCCTCGTCATTGGATTTCACGGTAGGACCACGAAGCTTCTTGCGAATTTTAGGGTCTGAAATGCTTGAGGGGGGTTCGATATCGGCGGAGGTAATCACGGAGGGGGATGTCTTCGGGGGATCCAGTTCTGTACCATCAGGCATACCCCCAGAAACTCGAAAGAGTTCCAAGAGATCGTAGAATTGGCCGTGGATGTCACCACAGACTGTGACAGGTGTCGATACCGGTTGGATATTTGATTCTGCCTACAAAGTCAGAATAGTTCAAACTGAGTTCAGGCCAGATACTTGCCCTCCATCATATATTCCTTGACGATTTCGCATAGCTGCTTCATATGTGGCTCCGATAGATACTTGCAATCCTTCGCTGCCTCCAGCCACTCGTCAGGGCCGGCATTGCGCTTGAGCTTGGCCGGGCCCGGTTGAGGAATCTTGCTCTCAGGCATGATAAATGGAAAGAAAGAATTAAGTAGGTAGAGAAATAGTGAAAAGAGAGTGAGGAACAAGAACTTGTAGAAAAATGCATGTCAAGGAGAAGTGCAGTTGACCGTTTCCCCCGCAAGGTGAATTTCACCGCCTTCGTCTGAATTGTCCTTTTCGTTCCGATTAACTACAGTACTTCCAAACACTCGATCAGCCTCTCGTCCTCTAGAGAGGATATTACTTTGGCTTTACTATACAATGGACCGAAAAGATCATCTGACGTTTATGCCCGTACATACACATTGCTGGACCTGAAGTCACGATTTGATCCATACACTCGAAGGAAAGTGTCTTACTGGGGTGAATAGAAATGCAATCACCCATCAATTTTGCTGAGGAATTCGGTCACAACTTCCGCGAAAGCCACAGGTTGCTCCACCATGGGCAGATGGCCAGCACGGTCGATGATCTTAAGCTCGGCGCCACCACGTAGATCCGACGCCATTTTCTGCATTGTCTGCGGCAGCACGCCGTCATTGGCTCCGGCGACGAACAGGCCTGGCACAGTAGCAGTAGCCATGCGTTCACGGATATCGTAGGCACAGAGGGCTTGTACGCTATGGGCAAACCCCCTCAAGCTGTTGGTGCGTACAGCCTCCTTGACTGGCGCGAGGACCTCGGGCTGGGTTTGGTATGATTCCGGCACGAACCAGCGACGGGTAGTTACCTCGGCCAACTCTTCACCGACAATGGGCTCCTTGGTGTCTGGATCGGTAGAGCCTTCCTTCTCACAAATGGCGACACGGTCACCCCATGCCTTACGGTTTGATTCGGGGGCGGAAGAGTTGGTGTCGCATGCGATAAAGGCTCCGACGCGTTCCGGATGAAGGAGAGCAGTGTTCAAAACGGTCACACCACCAAGGCTGACACCAATCAAATGAGCCGCCTTGGGGGGCACACGCAAAGCCTCCAGCAACGTCGCCAGATCAGAGGCCAACAAATCGATGTTGACGGGCTGCTCGCCACTCTGCGAGCGTCGGCCTCTAGTCAAATAGCGCACAACACGGTATCGCTGGTTCTGTTTATGAGCGAAGAAGGCGTCAACAAAACGATCCCAGATGTTCCAGTTGACTAGAATGGAATTGCTTAGAACGACGACAGGCGCGTAGGGGTCGGTGCTACCCTCCAGACGGTAGGGGATGTCAACACCATCAGAAGTTGTAATAAATGACTCGACAGCTGGCCGGGTGGTCGAGGGAAATGTGCGAGTGCGTCCATCATTGGAGTTCCAGGGTCCCACCACATCCGAGGCTGCCAGGGAAGTAAGCTCACGGGGAGCAGGGCCGAAGGTGTAGTACCACTCATATACGCGACGCTTCTTAGAGGTGACCACCTCGCTCATCAGACGCGCTCCCCATGGGGTATTCATGGCGGCCTTGTGTGCATCGCCGCCAAGGCCATTGACGGGAGCATACTCGTGAAGAGCCAGCGATTCGCGGGGGGCGGCGGAATCGATCGCCGCAGTGACAAAACGGCGACTCCGGCGCCATCCAGGAACACGGGAGAGCATCTCAAAATGTTCCTCGCGGTACCATTTTTCCAGGTCAGCTTGTTTGGCGGGGTCGGGGTAAGTGGCAACCCGGACGGCGATGAGGACGCTACCCCGGGTCTCGGCATCTGTATCGGCTTGATCTTCCAACGGGCGGAAGTTGGGGCTACTGCGCTCATCCACCAGATCGTATAGTAAACGACCGACATCGATCTGGGCCATAGTCTTCTTCTCCCGTTCGGTCTTAATTAGGTCTGTTCTTAAATCCAAATAGGTCTCGCGGGTCAACTCGTCCATATCGGTAATATCGTACAATGCCACATATTCTGGCTGCTCTCCATCGGTGGCACGGAAGCGGAAGCCATTAGTGACGAAGGGCAATCGCAAACGCAGAGGTCCATGTTCAGTGTTGTACCAGTCGTGGAACTGGGTGTCTGGCAGCGAGGCCTTGGGCTGCATTGTCACGTAGAGAAGACCGGGAGTAGGCATAATGAGGACGTAAGGGATAGAAATTCAACTTCAAGGATTAAAGATGAGAACAAGAGCCAAAAAAAAAGAGAGAGGGAGAGAGAGAGAGATATTAGAAAGACACAAGAAGTCGGCACTCTAACAATTGCCCCTCATCCGGGTGAAAGCAGAACCCGCAGTTGACTGCCGATGATATTTCCGTTTCTTAAGTGTATTCTACCAATCATATTGTATATCATATTGTTTATACTGTATGTGCTGTACATTGCATTCACTCTAATTTGCTCTAATTTACTCGTTCAATCATACCAGATGGCATTCATTCCAAATCCTTGCTCGGGAATATCCACACGCGCGACGCGTGCCAGCTTCTCGTCGCGCCAGCGGTACATCTCAACAAATCCGAGTTGGTCATCGCACAATGCGAGCCACTCATCGCTGAAGTCACAGGGGCTGACAGCGTTTGAATGACCACCACTGGTCGAGGTGGGGTTGATAAAGAGCTGTCGTTCGATCTCTCCATGCGAGCCGAGCTTGAACGCAGTGATGTAGCCGGTCACATCGAAATGGTTTGACCGGGTAGTGGCGAAAAGATATTCTCCACCCTTGGTACAAAATGTGACATCTCCGCGGTACTTGTTGCGTGGGGGAAGCCCTACCAAGATTGGTTGTTAGTTGACATTGCCATTGGTCGCATATGTTCCAGGTGCCGTGAAACTCACCGGAAGGAAGTAATGGGTACGTGATGTGAGTGAATACTGGCTTGTGGGTGCGCTCATCGATCACATAGACTGCCAGTCGATTGCCCGCCTCCATCAGGGCGTATAGGTACTTGCCACTTGGGTGCATCTCAACCCAGCGGGGGTGGTCACCAGCATCAGGAGCCTCGAGGCAATCGACCAGTGTCAATTCGCCCGTCTTGGGATCCTTGATGTGCGTCCAAATCTTGTTAGCCGTGAGATCGGCGGAGTACAAGTAGGTCTCTGTGGGATCGAAAACCATGCCGTGGATACCAGTGTTGGGGACATATTCGTAGTTCTGGATATTCTTATCCAGAGCTCCATCGGGCTTCACAGAAAACACGTTGCCATAACCGGCGTGGTTGTAGAAAGGGTTGCCGTAAACATTGTAGGGAGGCTTATGGGCGGCAAGCACGAAAATAGCACGAGTGTTGGTCTCGCTGCTGGGAGCCAGGGCTGGCGCGAATTGGTTAGCGAGGGGAGAAATTGGGTGTGTATCTCATTGACTCCTTAGGAACATACGGTGACCAGCAACCGGGTGCGACACTTGGTGAACGATATCTGTCGGACTATTGACGGCGAAACTGTTCCACTTCTTCATAGCTGCACCATATATCGCCTTCTTATCGTGGGAGAAGGTCATCCATGAGATGGGCTCCGCTTCCGGGATCTCGGTCTTTTTACTAGTTCTAGCGTGAGGGCATCATCATCAAATTGCACCGTATAGATGCGCCCGGGGGCGGTCCAGGTACCGATCATCAAATGATGCTTCATCTTGGCAATTGAGGAGTGAGAAAATGACCGAGATGTCGAGGCAGATGCCCGTGAGAAAACAGAACGGATCATGTATCGTTGAAACGTGAATAGAATGAAAGTTCAATGTCATTGCGGGGAGGATATCGGCATCCAAGGGCGGCACCCCGCGGGACTGTGTTTTATTCCAATGCCGATTTTAGGATGACACCACTCCCAAGTCATTCAATATTAGAATGGAATCGAGTATGATTTCAGTTAGATATGAACATAATTTAAAAGAAAATATAATATATATATATATATATATCATCAATTCTGTGGGTTCACTGCTACATCTTTAAAGCTCTATGTGCCTTCTACCGTAATCCGGGGTAGCGTCCATGTATATACTCACTTCATATTTTGCTCTTAGGCTCAAGATTATCGTATGTTAAGGCTCATTCGCATTGAGAAAATGAACTCTACTTGGTCTATTACTATTCCGTATCAATATGCTACATCCCAACATCCAAGTTGTTGGTGTTCTGAGAATATATATATATATATACATATTTGTCTACACACCAAGAAGTAAACCCATACTCTGGTAGATATTAGATAGTTAATCTGATCTGATGTTTATTATTTGCTACTTCTTCTATGTTGTATACCCCGGGGCCGTCCATATCCCAGGAATATGCCGGAGAAACACTCCCCCACATGGGCGGGTAAGATATTTCCCCTCGGCATCAACGATATCCCTTGACACTTGAAAGAAAGCATACCTAGGTAATACCTTGAAACCCCGGACTCTGATGTACGTGTTTCAACGTAGACTCACCATCCTCAAATATACCTTCAAATCAATCGAAATCAATCATACACGCACCATGCGTCTGCCCTACGCCCCTTCCACCCCACCTGTCGATGCACCCCCCGACACCGCCGACATCTATGCCCGCATCGCGGAGCGCAGAAACCCCCGTCCTTTGATCCCGCTTGATTTGTCTCTCCTCCATAGCCCACCTGTCGCTGATGGCTGGAACTCCTTCATCGGAGCTATTCGGTCGCGCACTCTAGTTGACTCTGGTGTCATGGAGCTGGCAGTCTGCCGTGTTGCCGTACTCAATAACGCTGTTTACGAATGGAATGCTCATGCTCCACTGGCTTTGAAAGGTGGAATCAAGCCCGATCAATTGCAGGCCGCTCTTACACTGCCTTGCACCGCCGAGGGAGACGTTGCCGAGCTTGAGAATAGCTCACTCACCGCGCAGCAGCGTGCAGTTCTACGCTATACCGACCAAATGACTCGCACTATCAAAGTTCAAGATGATGTTTTTGCTGAATTGAAGACGGTCGGGTACGATGACCGCGAGATCGTGGAGCTCACCACCGGCATCGCCGGTTATAACTGTGTGAGTCGGTTCTTGGTTGCGCTAGATGTCGGCGAGAACAATGCTCGTGAGATGAAGAGTGTGGACGAGATGGTCGCTACTCTGCAATAGCAAACGAGATCATACGGCAGATAACAACCAAGTGAAAAGTTGCTACGAGGAACGCAAACACGAGGAGACTCTTGACAAACGATTTACAACACTGAACGCAGAGCCAGCTAAGTCTACAAGTACATAAATAGTGCGAAATTTGAATAATGAGTAAATGATGAACCAAAAATTTGACACCATGAGCAATATAAGACACTCCCTAAGCTACCGTTGATGCTCATATCTTCCAAGGTTCCCATGCTCCACTGATTCGCCTAGGCACTGTGAGTAGTAGGCATTCTGCTTCTGGGAGGTATACGGGGTGGGTGCCACAGGTGGTTGCGTCAGTCCAGTTATTCCCACTACACTCCCCATAGTGAGCAGCGCCAGTGGTGCTTGATACTGTCTTCTTCATTCTTCTATATTCCTATGGGTCCTCCAATTCATCTTTTATTCCCATGTTAGCGGGGAAGGCACATCTGCTGATATAGTCCCCGGTGTCGTTGCAAATTCACAGACTATGAAACACAAAATAGCATCATGCTTGGAGAATTGACAAATAAATGAACGCAAAGTGCTTCTAAAAGATTAGTCCTCCGCGGGTAGTGCACCCTCGGCTTGCATCTCGAACGCCACCTCATCAACTTTCTTCCACACCCTCAATAGGTTGCCTCCTGCCACCTTACTTGCATCTTTGTCACTGACTCCTCGTTTCAGCAGTTCCATGATGAGATGAGGGAACCTGGACACGTCCTCCAATCCCTGAGGAACCGTCGGGATACCATCAAAATCACTACCTATTCCGACATGCTCGAAGCCTATAAGATTACCAATGTACATGATATGATCGGCAACTCTTTCCAGAGTGGCGTGGACAGTATCCACATCTGGGATCCCATTGGCACGGTCTGAAGCTGTGCAGGAAATGAAGTCTGGTGAAAAATTAACCATAACCAGGGAGTTTTTCTCACGGACCAACTCCAAGATGTCGTCGGGTACGTTGCGCGGGTGAGGACAGATTGCGTAGGCTGAGCTATGGCTGTAAATCACTGGAGCGCGGCTCCCTATCCATTCGGATTTGCCGGCGCCCAGTACATCACGCATGGTCTCCGTGCTGACATGGGCTAAATCGACGATCATCCCGAGGCGGTTCATCTCAAACACAAGCCTCTGGCCTTCTTCACTGACACCATGCCAGAGAGGATCGGACTTTTTTATTCCACCACCTGGAAGCTCGAGAATGGCGGCGTCAGCATACCGGTTATGGCAATTATGCGTCAGAGTTGCGTATGAAACCCCCAGCTCATAGAATATCCGGAGGTGAGCCAGTGAGTTGCCGATCGAATGCAAGCCCTCGATACCAAGCGGTGAAATGATTTTTCCCTCGCGGAAAGCGGACATGGCAGTGGTGCCATTTGGGGGGCTGGAGAAGACTTTGGGATAGGCTTGCTGAACCCTCGACATGATATCCACTTGCTCCATTGTCTCGCGTACGCCTATGATTCCAATGTTAGAGTATACTGTGAGATAGCCACTGTACGACCTCGAGTTCCCTTACTTGCTGCGTAATTCTCGTCGGAAAAATCGGTCCCATTCTTGGGACAGGGCACAAAAACACTCCAAAACGTACCACCAACCCTACCTTGTTTCAATCGAGGGATATCAACATGACCGGGGAATTTGCCCGTGACAAAGGCCTCAGTGAAGTTGCGATCGTTTACGCGGTTGTGGAAGAGTTCCCGGACCAAGATAGGAAAGTCATCATGACCGTCTGTTCTCAGGCATCAGTCATAAATTCTGCTTGAAGAATTATTCTCGTCAATCTCCGTACCGATCAACGGACTCTGTGACAGGATCTTCTCCACCCGTTCCTCAATACTCAAGGGGGAAAATGGATAGCGCGAGCGTGTGAACCAGGCGGTGGCTACAATGATACAGAGAAAGAGCGAGAGTAGATTGAAGGGGCGTTTTTTCTGCCTCAATGTCGGTGCATCCCCTTGGCTCTCCAAGATGGAGGTCTTCTCGTCGCTCATTGTGGACAATTACTTAGGTTCTTTGTACATGTGTAGAGTGCTGTGAGGTCGAAGAGAGCGGAGATGCTTATCGATAAGCTTGGTTCAAGTTCAGGCGGTCTGGGCCACCGAGTCTTCCTCCTGCTGAATAATCCCTGACAAGATCTGCTAACTATAGCAAGTTCACACAGAGTAGAAAATCAATGTCTTGTGTAGTGGATTGAAATTATATCGGTATACACATACCTCACCTAGGCACCCCAGGCCTACCTAGGTACCTACCTACGGGGCCTAGGCAGGTGATTACTAATAATGTTGGTTGTGCCGTTGCCTTAGAAATGAATGAATCCATGGGTGCACTTGGGCACGTGTTCATGACGATGCTGACTGACTATCTAGGCGGTGAGAACTCATGTCCAATCACACCGCCTTCAGCCCCGTAGATGCTATCAACTTAGACAAGTGGGCTGGATCTCTTGAGATTTCCATGACTTCGCCTTGGGAAACGGAAATATAGCCTATCAGTTCTTCTCATTGGAAACGCTTCACCACCATGCAACCCGGGAAGACCACGGCCGGTCTGTTGCCAATTTCGGCAGTAGCTACGCAAAAGTCGGGCTCTGGAGCATCCGTAAAGAAAACTCCCAAACCTCCCGCTCCGCGTCTGAAACTTCTCATTCGACGTTTGCCGCCCGGGCTAACACAGGCCGAGCTGGAGAGTGCTCTTGGGGAAGAGTGGAAGGCTGGGGCAGGAAACGTCGACTGGCTTCAGTACAAACCTGGCAAAGTGTCGAAAGAGTAGGATTCACCATCCTCTAATGGAATCTTATATTGCTTTCGACTAACTGGACTTTCTTCGAATAGCCCCAACAAACCATCGCGTCCGTCAAGAGCGTACATTCACGTTATATCCACCGAATGTGTCTCTTCGCTCTCGGACGTTGTGCGTCAAGCTTCTTTCCAGGACGCTCGCAACACTCTACATGACCCCATCCTACTTGGACCTCCGTCGCTGGAGTTTGCACCTTATGCCAAGACGCCCGGAAGCCGCTCGCGCAAGGATGCTCGTCAAGGCACTATTGATCAAGATTCAGACTTCATCGCTTTCTTGGAAAGTCTGACCCAGCCTATTACCAGGCCGGCCGCTGTGGATTCCACGGCCGATGCTGAGGATAAGAAGAAGGAAACCGTAATGATCACCCCGCTGGTACAGTTCATCAAAGACAAGAAGGCCAGCAAGTTAAAGGACGGAAGCACCTCTAAATCCAAACACGGCCGGTCGGACAAGGAGTCAAAACAGGAGAAAGTGCAGGCGAAAAAGCTTTTGCAAAGGGGCGATAAGGAAACCTCGGCAAACTCTTCCGAGAAGAAACCCAAAGGAGAGAAGACAAGCAAGGACTCTGTCAAGGCAACCAAGCAAGGAACCACGACCAATGCAAAGGGAAGCAAGTCGAGTGCTACATCAAATACAACAAAGGATACGAGTGCAGCCCCAGAGCGGAAGAGAGAGCGCGGGAATATTACAGCAGCCACCAAGATCCTTCAGCGTGATCTTGGACTCTCGACGTCTGGTGGGCGACGACGCGGCAAAGGTAGTTCGACTGATACTGCATCAACTAAGAACGAGAGCTCTCGAGACTCGGCCATTCCATCAGCCGATCTGTCCAAGAAGGAGACAACCAGGCCTCCCAAAACCGCATCATCCGCAACCAATTCTCCAAAGCCCAAGGAGGGCCAGTCATCCTCGCGACCTGATGTACCTGCTGCGCCGCCTACAACCCTACCGACCAAGTCTACTAAAGGTGGCAAAGCAAAGCACTCATCAACTGCTAAACAAGCTTTCCTCAAGCACGCCAACCCATCCCAGGGTGTGACCGAAGCGCTCCTGCAGTCTGCATTCACCCCATTCGGAGCAGTGACTAAGGTCGAAATTGACAAGAAGAAGGGATTCGGATACATAGATTTTGCGGAACCGGAAGCACTTCGCAAAGCCATCGCTGCGAGTCCAGTGTCCGTGGCCCAGAGTCAAGTGGTGGTCTTGGAGCGCAAGGAGAACCCTGGAGTTGAAAAGTCTCGGAAAGGCCGCGAGAGTTTCGCTGCCAATAAGGCCAAGGCTCCCGCCGAAGCCGCTGGAAGCGCATCGGGGTCTAGTAGTAATGTTGGAAATAACGCTGGCTCTTCCCGCGGATCCCGTGGAGGACGTGGATCGCGGAATAAGGGACCCAAGGGGACCGCTGGAGCTCCAGAGAAAACTGGAGGCACCGAGGCGGAGTGAGGTCAGGCCGACGTATTGAGTTCTTCAGCAGTTCACGAGACATGATACCCGAAGACACGACAAGTTTTAATGATGTATTTCACAAGCGAACCGTCATTTCCAAAATGTAGTAAATGCCACATTTCCTATACTTTATATCTCAACAACCATGTGCTTGTTTTATCAGATTACTTGTCGATGGCGATTGATAAGAGTTCTTAGAAGTATATATCACTTCCGAACAAATCAAACTTTCAATAATTACCAAAAATGATGTGCGAGGAATATATATATCTGAATAAGTCACAAATATGAATTCCCCGAACTCCTTAAACTATTTCTTACCTAAATAGTACTAGGCTACAAGGAACGGAGCTTATAGACCAACATCGATGGAATATAACGCTATGATCTATCGCATCTACTGTGTTTTGAAGATGGCGGTTGGCTTGTGAAATACGCCAACTACATGATGGCCACGCCAAAGGATTTGATAAAACTATGACCTGATATACTATGACCGGATCAATAGACAGGGCAGTACTAAGGTAATATTCAAAAAAAGAATGTAGCTAGCTAAGTGGACAGCGAGACTAAAGTTGAAGCATAAAAACTCTGTCCAAGAAGTGAGGCGAGATACACGGTACTAGTGACCATCCATTGGCATATCAGTCTATTAGGCCAGGAGGTAAACCAGTCCATCTATATCAGCTAACCGGTACAGAGGGAACCGCATTCAAAGAACTCATTATTGAGATGAAATAAATTTATTCTGCTATCTGCATAACTCTCACAGCTCACTACTCCTTCTAACAAATTGAAAGAGGACCTTTCAGACCTCCTCGACACCCACCAGGACCGACCGACCGAAGTCAGACGTCGAGACCAGGTCAAGATCATCACCACTCCCTGGACCGAAACGCAGACACTGCGAACAGCACGCGTGACAGTCGAGGCGGGAGTCAAAAAGGTTTCACTTTAGGGCATCGAGGACATGTAGTCATCAGCAAGGGTGGAGATTCTGTGGCTCTTTTAAAGAGTTTAGAAAGGGGACGTCTACTCTAAAGTGATTCTTTGAACTGTGGAAATGGTCAGTAAAAATGTTTCCATTACAGTGAAAAATAATCTTCAACTGTAGGGGGGAGGAGGAACATACGTAGAGTCGCTTGAAAAACAGAATAAGGTCCGGGGATCTGGGCTTATTTATATTCCTGACGGTACGCTAGCGCTAAGCGAGAGTGTCGTCTGTTTGTCTGGTTTGGCTTGTTTGTCTGACCTGGTTTGTTTGATTTGTTTGGTTTGACTTTTCTCTGGGCCGCCTTTTCCATGGTTGATCCAATCATCTGCCAAACCTTTTACTCAGGGCGGATCCTCTCTAGATTTTCATTACATATGTATGCACGGAGTACGGAGATTACTTTGTGCAAAGTACTCTGTAGGTAACTATAATTCTATGTGTCACATAATTTGGGATTGCAGCGAAATCGAGGTCACCTTCGGCAAGCCGCTGAACGATTGGGAAGATTTTCATCGGTATCTCTATACTCCCTAGGTGTTGTATACCCGTGGACAAACATACGGAGTACTTAAAACCTTGGAACTCTAGTACACTTAGGTAATACGAGCGAGTCGGCAACTAATCCACCTTGGATACGTGTGTATGTACTTATTATGATTTGTTTCCCCGAAACGGCTTGTTATACATACATACTACCAGGAGACTTTTGTAGAACAAAAACTAATCTGCCAGAAGTGCCTCTTCCGAAAGCCCCATGGACGTCGGGCCGCGCACTCTTATCGCTTATCTTTTATCCCCGGTCGAGTGGACGGGTATGCGGGGATCTCATCCAACCCCAGACCCGTGGACCTTGTAGACTCTCCAAGCATGCCACGCCCCAAGGTTCATCCAGCGAATCGGCTACGGGCGAACACTGCATGTACTGCCTGTCGTGCATCCAAAAAGCGATGCAGTGGTTATTTCCCATGCACCAACTGTATTCACAAAGGACGTGACCGCTCATGCACTCCATTCAAGTCCTTCCCAAATGCAGGCCTCCGAAATCGCTTTGTACCTCCTTCTCAACCTGCAGTTGAGGCGCCCCGGACATGGAGGGGAATGACAGTCGATTTACAAACCCCGCTGAGGTCACAGTCTCGTGATATTGGTACGCCCCATCCCGAGTTCGACAAGCTGCAGGCGGGTTCGCACTCGCCTGAAGTTACGCATCGGACGCATCCGCGCATGCTCCGCAATCTACAAGGGGAACGAGGTATGAAATGTTGCGACTGTCATGTATATCATTTGATTGACACTGTCCGCAGTGTACGTCGGGAAAGCCGCCTCTCTGTCATTTCTACAATTGCTTCGGGATACAGTGACCCAACATATCGGGCCCTCACAGTTCTCTCATAATGGGGGAAGTGAAGATATGCTAGAAGCAGAAGCTCATCATGATCTGTTGAATTTCTCCCAAGAATGTTGCACTGTTGACGAGAAGGACCGATTTATACAGAATTATCACGCAGCGGTAGGACAAACGCCCATCATGAATTTGTGGATAAATCACTAACAACGTGCTAGACGAGTGGGTTTTTTAATTTGAGCTTTAGTGATGATGTTACATCTACATTGGTTAGCCCAGAGGAGCCTAAAACCGACCGGGAAAGGACTAGGGCGGCCATCATTGACCTTATGGTTGCAATCGGAGCACAATCCTGCCCGAACGATCGAGAAACCCTTCAGGCGGAGCGGTTTTACTTTGCTCGCGGTCAACGCAGGACGTTTGCCAACATGCTAGAAGATCCTAGTGTGGATTTAGTCCGAGTGTTTCTACTCATGTCCTTCTATATGCTGGGGGCATGTCGACGAAACACGGCATTCATGTACCTGGGAGTGGCGTCACGAGCAGCGGTGGCGCTTGGGTTTCATGCAGAGTCTCCAGGGTCAATAAGCCCCGATCAGAGTGATAAGAGCAATGAACGGTAAAACCTTCTCGCAAGATCCACGTGGCCATGCTAATCCCTAATAGACCGCGATTATGGATGAGTTTATGCATTCTCGATTTGCTTGTCAGTTCGATCCTCGGAAGACCTTCTGCTATATCACCGCTATTACCCGAGAATCGACAAGAACCTAGTGGTATTGCGGCCGGACCGCCTGATCCTGGCCTGGTGGCTTCATATCAGTTATCGTTGATTCTGGACGAAATAATAAACTGCATTTACAGTGAAAAGGCTGCATCCGCACAGCAGGCAGACCTCCTATTATGCAAATTAAACGGCTGGTGTGAATGTCTACCGCGATCATTAAGGACGTCATCTTTGGGACCCAAAGATCAGAGCGCTTTCAGAGAGCATACAATTGGAAACATGCACGTTGCATGTTCATATCATTTTGCAGTGATTCTAGTCACCCGACCTTTCCTCGTCTCGGCCTTGAGTGTCCGGCTCGCCCGGTTACACCAGAGCCTCTCGACCGGTGATCCCATTGAGATGCCTGAGGAGGACCCAGCCCACTCCCGCCTGGCGGCAGCATGCATCGATTCTGCTCTATACATGCTGCAAACATGCCTGGAGGTTCATAGGTCCGGTCTTCTTCTTCGGAATATGTGTATTCTCAAGTTCGTCTCCGCGAATACCGATCTAGTAACTTCAAGGCTAATATGCATCAAACAGAGCGTTTATCTTTGCTGCAGCCCTTGTGCTCGGTTTCTCCATGTTCTCCCATCGTGAGGTGGATTCTGAGATTGATGATGTATTCCGCGGTGCCCTGACCATCTTGCGCATGCTGGCGTCGCAGTCTGCCCAGGCAGCTCATTACCTAGAGATAATAACGAAGCTAGAGGCCGCTATAACCAAACAGCGCCAGCAACTAGTTGCCCAATCCCGACAGCGACGGAGTCAATACGTCACTCGGATTTTTAGTTTGAACGACACCCCGGCAACACTGCAGACACAAGGTGAGGGGGACGAAAAAGAGGGGGAAGAAGAAGAAGAAGCGGTAAATACGACCCCACCTCTATCGCATAGTATCACATCATACGCGTGGTTACATTCGGACGATGGTACTGCTGCCGTCTCACCCCCCATGATCGATGGAAATTTATTTGATTGGGAGGGTATGGATTTGCCGCTGTGGGATAGTTTCCCATTTCTTGCCGAATCAACTACAATATGATAAAATACAATCTGTATATTATATACCTGCGAATTACATGTGTAGTTTACTCTAGGATTTGACGAGCCAAGCAACTTCGGAACCTCTAATGGTAAGTGGGACTACATAGGCATCTAGGCCCCCAAAAACGAAGAACCACAAAATTGTAGATTCAACCTCTTCTAAATAGACGACTTCACGGTCGGAATTAAGAAGCCGGGGGGATAAAGATTCGAAGTATCCCAGTAGAGCTGGTAAATATCGTCGACGTCCGTGTCTTTCAAACGGAACGAATCGCACAGGATTCCATTCTCATTTTGCCACATGAGATACCTGCCATAGAAAAGAAACTGATCTATTTTCGTATCGTCCGGTGTATCGATATCGTTCCCAGTGAAACCCACAGGTAGCACCATGTTGGGTGTGGGACGGATGTAGAAGAACGTGTCAGGGTCCAAGGTGTAATCCTTGTTAGTGGCCGTGGCGATGATTCGGGAGTTTTTGAAGACGACTAGGAAATTATTAGCAATTTGTCCTAGTTAAACAAAGGAAATATATATAAATGCGAATGAAATAAAAGAGCAATAAACCCTACATGTAACGTCGGTTGTCACCGATCCAGACACCCACTGGGACGAATCACCGACATATGCGAGACCTAGGTATCGAGTCAGATAGGGATCAGACTCATGCGGGAAATCGTAACAACCGTCAGAATAAAAAACATTGGCTCCCTCAGGGGTGACACCGTAGGCAAGAATGGAGAAGGATCCTGTTGGATAGCGCTTTTGCAGGCCCGACTCAGAGAGTGCAGCTATGGCTTGTGAGGCTAAAGCCATACTGGTCAGTAGGATATTCAGTCTCATTATTTGGGAGATAACCTCACGAGAGAAGATTGGATAGTGGCGGTAGGCGTGCAGTTGAGCAGTTATGTTATATCCCATTGTCGGATAACAAGTCTGGGGTGACTTTAGTCAGACCCTACTTGGATTAACCTTCCGAGATTCAATGTGCTGACAGAGTAATCATAAATTTCGCTTATATCTCGATTTATTGTATTTGAACTCGGTCAGAAGTAAATTAATTTACCAATCAGATATAAGGGCCAGTCTGGAGTGTTGTAGAAAGTGAAATTATCACAAGTCACACTTTAGTATTTCCTGAATAATAGACTCTGATTAAACTAGTTATATGATTTGCTTCTTATTGTAGTTATATCGAACAAAAGTCGCTAGGAATGACTCCAGCCTCAGAGCCAGCTGGACAATGGCAGGAAAAGGTATGCTGCACTGTAACCCTTCTTCTTGGTGGTAACTCGAGAAACCAATGTGGCTTGCTTGCTGTGCAACCGGTAATTGTTTTTCTTGTCTTTTTTTCTCTCTTTTTTTCTTCCTTTTTTCTGGTATTAGATACTCGATCATTGAAGTCAAAAAAGAAAGACTGGTCTACCTTAACATAAGCTATATAGTCTCCCCGGGCATAGGTATGTTCTTGGTGACCTTGTTCCTGAATATCTTTGAGATACGACAATCATGACAAGTGCGAGCTATTTTACTCGGTCACGTTTGATCCTTGTCACTAGCTCTTTTTGTTTTTCAACTAAGTCATTCTTGTTCTCCGCTGACGCTAATTCTCACATTCATAGAACACAGAGGGTTTCTGAAATTCTGTTGGGTACATTGACAATAGTCTCGACTTCAAGAGACCGGGAACTCCAGAGGGAAGCTCGCCTAGGCGATCATCAAACCCACCTCCAAATAAAACGAGAATTTCGAAGTTCCATTAGAAGAATTAGATCAGTTTCTTCTTTTGGATTTTCTATACGTCTTTATTTGGGGACAAGAGACTCAAATTTCCCACTCTGCTGCCAGGAAAGTAATTCGATAAGGCCAAGCCGCCAGTCACAAGTATTTAGACTTGTCTGAACCCTTGCAAACCATGAAGGTAGCGTAAGGCTCTTCTAGCGGCTTCCTCTATGTTAAGAGGCTGCGAGTCGGGTATAGTCATGATCAAGTTGGAATGGGGATATTGGGCATCAGGCAGGCTCATGGATATAGAGCTATAAATATACTAGCCAGATACTATTTTCCTAGCCATAATCTCATGGAATTTAAAGAAAACACGAATTGTGCACGAGGTATGGTGGCAGGCCAGATGGAAAAACTGTAGATGCTCTAAAGCAGTTAAGGGCGTCGTTGATGCTTTTATAAGTGTAGAATAGTGCATCTCTCCAAACCACATGTCATCCCCTCACCTCTACCGAGTTATTTGACTCGCTGCGACTCGACTGGCCCTCGAAATTCTTCGTATTACATTTTTGTGTCATCGGCCGTCTATACGAAGAAACAAACATCAATCCTAAAGAATAACTCTCCAGACTCGGTCCGGAATCAACTAATGTCACAGATGATCCATAGATAAGCACAAAGAGGGGAAGTAGTCCTTGGTAGACGTTTCCAATACATACCTAGGGATTGGTGAAGTGGATAATTTCGTATAAGCCCCGTTTCAGAGGCACTTTGACATGAACAAGTGTTCATAAAGAACGGCTCTCGTGCATCTAATGTGGCATTAACAAAGACACATTCTTTCAATTATTGGGCACCCTAAAAAAAACCCTAAAAAAATAGATTTTGCGGCATTTCGGGAGACAAAGATCATAATTCTATGGGCTTTATTGGTTCTTAAATCCCACAGCTAATACGCACTCCTTTCTTCTTATATCCAAACCTATTTCTGTCAAAGTGCCCGAACAAAGAGGAACAAGGGAACGAAACTCGTAGGATAAGCAAGTATGTAGGAGGGAATCCACTTTGTAAGTCTAAGCATGGAGGTATGGATATACTAGCGGTCTATATTGTTTCAGTAAGACGGGACACGTCTATGGGACTGTGGGATGTTCACGTGCTCAGTTTGTGGAACGCAAGACTTCAGATACATTTCAAAATAGACAATTCCCAATATGAGGGAAACCGAGCGGTTAGACGGGTGAGATGTCTGACAGTACTCGACTTGGTAAAGAGAAGAATACCAGCGCCACTACATCAATTGGATATGGGACTTTGCAGTAACTTCCGACCTTCTCGTGTCTGACTTGGGAGGTCAATTTTGCATCATTCACTCGTGTTCTGTCGGTTGGCTACCTGACAGCCCACACCCTCGAGCCTTACAAATAATAGGCCCCTTGGTCAAGAGCAAGAGGCATCTGCTCCGGCTACAATTTCTGTATGGCAGGAATGACATCGATTATGATCTCCGCTTGTGCATCATTAGGCACCTTACGCATCAGCTCCGAGATGATGAAGTTCGCTTTAGAACCCCCTTTGAGAATAGAGCTTGGGGCGCTGTAGCTTGGCTGGCAATCAATTTGGATGGATTCCCTAGGAGATACTAAAAGGTAGAGACACCAATGGTTTGATCCCGCATTTTGACTATGCAGCACAGCAATAATCTGTCTCACTGTCAACGCCAAAATTTCGTGTTGATGCACTGGCTGAAAGGTGGCCATGCTGCTATTCAGTAAAAGTAACATTTGTTAAGAATGATAAACAAAGAGATTGGTAGCTACCTTGGTGATAGATTACTATGCAGAAATGTCTAATACACCGGCCTAGGCTAGCTCTCTTGCCCTGGCCTCTGATCAGAATCATAATAGCGTAATTGGGTCCATAGGCAATTTTTTTATGATATTTTGAGGATGATACTGTGGGTAATAGAGCGAATGGAAATATAATGAGATGGTAAGATAGAATGGGGAGCATGGGAGCATGTGACCAGCAACAAATGTATCAAACATGCCACAGGTCAGCTACTCACGGATTTTATATTGATATGTTTACCACAACAGAGCGATGACCCTTCTGTCATCAGAACCAATTGCTTACTTGAGGTCCCTGATAAAAACTTATAACCACATGGAATGGGACAATATATCCACCTACTTGACCGCATCCATCTCCCGATCTTGTTTTGCCATCTCCCGTCGCGCACGCCCGCGATACTTGGCCATGTAAATGGTCACGAAGATATAAATGCCGCCCATGGTCAGTATAATGAGTGAGTAGAAGGGATTCAAATAAACAAGGCAGTAGGTAGCAGCAACGCCAATGTCCGCAACCATGGAAGGTATTCAAAGCGCTTCCCTTGTTCAATGCACTCATAACCTCCCCCAGATGCTTCCCCAGATGAAATTGCATTGGAAGAGATAGAACATGGCGAAAGGCTGATTCAGTCAGCTTTCGGTAGGTGGCTTGCCTGAATGGAATCCACAGGAGGGCTCGGATCGACGCGAGCACGCCCTGTTGACCCTGAATTGTCTGCACCAGTGGTCTAGCACTATTTTCCCTTCGTGATGATTGGTCATTGGGCCAAGGCCCCAACCACGGCCGCCGATGCCCTTAGAGTCGCCGATACACTACAAGGACCGGAGGACTCGAAGGGGACGAACATTACTTCGTCTCAGATGTTTTATCCTGTTGCATTTATAAGGGACGGTTGTCATAATCTTCCCCCTTCTTATCATTTTTCTCTAACCATGGAATGGATCCAGATGGAGAGTCATCTCTATGATAACCATCTTACAGCCATAAATTATACTGTTGCGGGGATTCTCGTGCTCCTCCTTGTAGTGCAATGGCACCGAACTGCGACTGCCCGTTTGGATCTGCCCGTGGTAGGCGATATCAGTCAGAAAGACTTTCGTCCAGCTCTAGAAGAAGGTGCTCAAAAGGTATATACAGACTACCCCATGGACGATTAGGGCTGCCGATTGACTTGACTGCCAGTATCCTAATACTCCGTTTGTGTTGGCTACAACGATGCATCCAACGGTCATTCTTCCGGTCTCCTTGATGGACGAAATCAAGGGGCTGCCTGAGAGTACTATATCACTTCGGTATGCTTCTAATCACCGCAGGGGGCGCTGGGCAATTTTCGCTAATTGAATAAATCGTACAGGCAGCGCCATTATACCATCTTTCTGGGAAAATATACCGGGTTCGGAGAACCCTGCAATGAGCTAGATGTGTCTATTCGTTCCGACCTCACCCATCACCTCGAACAAAACCTAGAAAACTTCCAAGAGGAGGTAGCCTATGCGTACGATAAGTACGTCGGACAGTGTCCGGACTGGACCGTGATACCAGTGTATGACGCCGTGCTCGGCATTGTCTGCCTTCTCAGCTCTCGTGTATTTGTCGGCCTGCCCCTCAGTCGAGATGAAGATTGGATCCGTGTCTCCACGCAGTACGCTATGGATGCTGGTCACGAGGCTCATTCGCTTTCTGCATACCACCCAATTCTACGGCCTTGGTGGCTCCCTTCCTCGTCAAGAGGATGAAGCAGCACCGGGCCAGTGCACGTAAGACGCTTCAACCTGTGATAGGCCGAATATTGAGCGTTGATTCCAGTTCGGATACTAAGAGCGACACGCAGAGCGGGGACTTGATGCGATATGTCCTGCGCCATTACGAGAGCGAGCCACCGATGGAGCTTCTAGCCCGTGACCAGCTCGTCACTAGCTTTGTTGCCATGCACACAACCACGATCTGCATCACGCAGGCGCTGTTTGACTTGGCCGCCCGTCCAGAATACATCCCATCGCTGCGCGAGGAGCTGGAGGGGGTCATTGGCAAAGGCGGAACTCAGGACTGTTATCTGGACAAAGAATCCGTGGTCAAATTGCGCAAAATAGATAGCGTCGTGCGCGAAAGCCAGCGCATGAACCCTCCAGGGCTGGTGTCCATGCTGCGGAAGGTTATGAAACGCGACGGACTGAAGCTGTCGACAGGCCAAATTATCCCTCAAGGCAGTGTGGTAGGCTTCTCCGCCCATGCTATATCTCGCTCTTATCCCAATGCCGATGAATTCGATGGCTTCCTGTTCGCCAAATTGAGGGACACGCCAGTTCAGTCGACCATGCACCAATTGACTAATACAGCCCCCGACCATATCAGCTTTGGCCACGGCAGTCACGCCTGCCCTGGGCGATTCTTTGCGGCCAGTGAGATCAAAGTAATTCTAGGGTATCTGTTGCAGAACTACGATATTCGACTTCTCGATGGGGCTACTAGACTGGAGAGTGTCCACGTCAGGGCAACTGTGGCTCCAGCGCGGGAAAATAATTTTTTCCCGCCAAAGAACGACAATAAATACCAGCAAGGTAGACCACCTAGGCGTTGATAGGATTGTTTAGTATAAATGGCGGGCTACCCCAGCAAGTACTCTACTGACATTATTGAACTCTACCAATCATATTCTGGGCTATACTTCGAAATTATTTTGCCCTTCTTTTCTACCTGCTCGAGTATAGATTTTCCCTAATTTACCTACAACATAGGTATAGGTTTCTCCTATCTTGCCATACTGCGAAGGTGTAGGGGTCGGATACTAAATATTATTAATATTGGTGCCTGAATGATGCCTGATACAGTGTGTATTGTAAAACTATACATGAAGCTCTCAATTAAAGCCTTCTATGTTTATTACTCTTTTCAGTTTTATGAGAAACCCTTCCTCCCTCACGTATTAATGTGATAATGGTTATACGTCTTTTTCCCTGATAGCGCAGCCTTTGACGAATGGCCCAAGTGATTCCGATAGAGACAGAAGGGAAGTATAAAAGCCGAAGATAAGCGCAAGTGCGCGGCCCGCGGTGACCCGAGTGCACCATCCGCCAGCCGATGTAGAGATCCGTGAAGTGTATATGAGAAGATGTAGAGATAAGGAATTAATGGGAGAGGACCTCCTATATATTCACCTTGACACTCACGGTGTTCTGCATTGATTCAACCTACTTCAAACCAACAAGTTTTATTCATTCTTCTACTACATACATCATGTCAAGCTGGAGGAGCCTTCATGTCGGCGTTATTGGTGGAGGAATCGGCGGCATGTCGGTTGCAATTGCCTTGCGTCGTGCAGGACACACCGTGACCATCTATGAAAAGTCGGACTTTGCAGGTGAAGTCGGCGCTTCGGTCTCGTGTGCAGCCAATGGAACCCGCTGGCTACACGAATGGAACGTGGATATCGCCAAGGGTGACCCGGTGGTTTTAAAGAAGCTTATCAACCGTGACTGGAAGACGGGTGAGCCTGTCAGTGTGTACGACCTTGACGATTATGAGAAGCGCTGGGGATATGTCTACAACATGTTCCATCGCCAGTACATGCATGCCATGCTGAAGGATTCGGCACTGGGCGAGGGTGAAGGAGTACCAGCAACTCTCAAAGTGAACCACCGGGTATGTTCATCACTAGAATCAGTTTAAAACCAACCGTGTGCTAATATTACCTGGGATTTAGTGCCGCGATATCGATCTGAAGACGAGTACAGTCGTCTTCGAGAACGGCGAGGTCATAACTCATGACCTAATCGTCGGTGCAGACGGAATTGGCTCAGCGGTTCGAGGGATTATTGGAATCACACCAGAAAAGCGAGCCTCTGATCAGAGCTGCTTGCACACCAATGTCAAAACCGAGGATGCCATCAGGCTCGGCCTGGTGAACTACTCCGAGGATAGCGCACTGGAGTACTGGGGTGGACAGGAAGGCAAGTGGGATAAGATTGTTCTGTCACCCTGTAACGGTGGCGAGCTTCTGTCGTACTACTGCTTCTTCCCGCGCGAGAAAGGTGACTATTCAACACAAGCGTGGGGGGCTGAAGACCGCCCCGTTGAGGAACTCCTCGCCCCATACCCGGAACTCGATCGACAAGTGTTTGAGCATCTGAAGATCGGGGCAGAGATCAAGCCTTGGCGCCTCTGGGTCCACGACCCGTACCCGTATATCCAAAGCGGTAACACCTGTCTCTTGGGGGATGCTGCACACCCGATGATGCCTCATCAAAGCCAAGGAGCCTGCATGGCCATCGAAGATGCGGCAGCACTTGGGCTCTTGTTTGATAAGCGTTATTTCTCAGGGGATATTGCTCAAGCTCTTGCTGTTTACGAGGAGATACGTCTGCCTCGTGCCACAAGGGTGCAGGAAGCAGCAGCCAAGGCGGCTTACAATATCAACGAGCGGATTGGTGAGCGACAGTCTTGTTTCATAAAGTTGCAGTGCATTCCCTTCTGACCAGCGCATAGGCTTCTCTGTCAACAAAGATGTTCCCACGTACCAAGTCGAAGATGCGAAGAAGGTTCTTACTATCGAGGAGATGAATGCGTGAGTTTGACCCACTTCAAGTGTGGGGCTATACTGACAATGACTAGTTATGATATGCATAAAGATATTGAAGAGAAACTCGCCGCCAAGCGTGGAACAACCTATACCGAGAAATTCCTTTGTGGACTTCCCGTTGGACTTGAACTACCGAACGGGATCACGATCGGCGCAGTTGGCGCATAATTCAAGTGATTTTCTGAAACAGGGAAGCAGTCATTGGCTATGTTTTATCATTTAGTTTGGCTTGTGTTGATTAAGATGTTTGTACGTTGCCGCTAGTCTACGTAGTCATGAAACAATGAATACCTAGTAAATACCAAAGTCGCGTGTATGACCCACCCATATATACATTTCTAGAGCCAATATACATAATAATAACAATAATCTACATCAATGGGCGGATATAATCCTGCCAAGAATCCTGCTGAGCTTAGCCCGGAGTCGATTGTTGCGGTCACCGAGGTTCTCGGAGGGAGATGTACCGACCCCGCGATAGCAGTCTACAGTGGAACGGGGAAATGCAGTTTTACCAGGACAATATTAGAATGAGAAAGCAATATTCATCTGTAGTAATTTAATATTGTACTATTATGTAGACCAACCAAGCTACATATGTACACCTACTATTTTAGACTATCGTATACATAGAAACATGGGTCGTGGGTCTGCTCACAAATTAATGTATATGCTACAGGTAGCTATCAATGTACTACGTATGTACTACGTATGTATGTATGTAGGCATCAGAAAAGCAGTTGATAGGAACCAAAGTTGTTCAATTTGGATTATATACAAAACGAAAATCATGTATCATCATTTCATTGGATTGAATCACTCAACTACTAATAATTTATTGGTTTCTCTTTTTCGTGGGAAGTTTTTTTTTCTTTTTTTTTTTTAGAACAGAGCATCGCCCAGGCGGTAGTGCACAGTCTTGACCTGGGTGTAGTTCTCAAGAGCATACGAACCGAGCTCACGGCCAATGCCGGACTCCTTGAAGCCACCGAAGGGAGCCTGGTAAGAGATCATGTTGTAGTTGTTGATCCATACGGTGCTACAATAGAGTTAGCTTTGTTACAGCAGTGCACTTGATCGAATAAAACATACCCAGCCTTGAGAGCGTTAGAAACACGGATGGCAGTGTTGATGTTCTTGGTGTGAACGGCAGCAGCGAGACCTGAATACAGTTAGGATAATATTTCAGGGTTTCACGAAGGATGCAAACAATACATACCGTAGTTGGTGCCGTTACCAATGCGAATAGCATCGGCCTCATCCTTGAACTTGGTGACAGCGATAACGGGGCCGAAGATCTCCTCCTGGGCGATCTTCATGTCGGGAGTGACGTCGGTGAAAACGGTGGGTTGGATGAAGTAGCCCTCAGTACCGTGGCGCTCACCACCCACGGCGACGGTGGCACCCTCGTTCTTGCCGTGGTTGATGTACTCCATGATACGGTCGAACTGGAGCTGCGAAACCTGGGGACCCTGGAAGGTGTCACCCTCGAAGGGGTTGCCGAGCTTGTTCTGAGCGGCACGCTCCTTGAAGCGAGCGACAAACTTGTCGTGGATGCTCTCCTGGACCAGCAGGCGAGAACCGGCGCAGCAACACTGGCCGTGGTTGAAGAAGATACCGAAGTTAGCCCATGAGATGGCGTTGTCGATATCGGCATCCTCGAAGACGATGTTAGGAGACTTGCCACCCAGCTCGAGAGTGACCTTCTTCAGGTTAGACTTAGCGGCGGCCTGCAGGATCATACGGCCGACAAGGGTGGAACCGGTGAAGGCGACCTTATCAATGTCCATGTGGCTAGAGATGGCGGCACCAGCAACACGACCGAAGCCGGAGATAACGTTGATGACACCGGGGGGAAGCCAGCCTCAACAATAAGCTTAGAGGCGTACAGACCAGACAGAGGGGTCTGCTCAGCGGTCTTAATGATCACGGTGTTACCGGCAGCGATAGCGGGTCCAATCTTCCAAGCCCACATAAGAATAGGGAAGTTCCAGGGGATGATCTGACCACAGACACCAACGGGCTCGTGGCGGGTATAGGAGAGGGTCTCGGAGTTGGTGTCAATGGTCTGGCCAGTGATTTTATCGGCCCAGCCACCGTAGTAGCGCAAGCAGCCAGCAGCATTGGCAATATCGACCTTGGCCATGGTGACAGCCTTACCGTTGTCGAGAGCCTCAATGGAAGCCAGGGTCTCCATATCACGCTCGAAGAGGTCGGCCAGCTTGGTAAGCATACGGCCGCGGTCCGAAGGGGTCACCTTCTTCCAGGAACCCTCGAAGGCCTCGCGGGCGGCCTTGACAGCGATGTCAACATCCTTCTCGGAAGCCTCGTAGACGGAGGTGATGGGCTTTTCGGTGGTGGGGTTCAGGGTTTCGAAGGTCTTGCCGTCAACACTCTTGATGAATTCGTTGTTGATGAACCTGAAACGAGGAACCAATTAGCAATTTGGGGTTACTGATCCAAGAGAGGGGTAAAAAGCATACAAGCCGAGGGGCTGTTCATAAGTGACATTGGGAGTCTTAATGGTAGTGGAGAGCGACATGGTTGCACAGAACGGGTATCACAAATAGATGCAAGAAAGAGAAAGCGGAGGGGGGATCTCCAAGGTTTTTATATATACCTAGGTAACTTGGCAACTTCCAAGGTTATTTCGCGTCTTCGGTTTTCCCTTGGCTTTCTTGACCCGTGGACTTTCTTGATGCGGGGTCAACGCCACGTGAACCACTTTTTTCTGTCATGAAACGGTATGGATACAGCAGCGACCGCTTTCGCCTTCAAGGTTGGACAATGCAGAGTAGTTTTTTCAAACCCTAGTCACATGATTCTTCTAGGCCGTATTTGGTTAGCTCCGTATTGAACAATCCGTCATAAAACCGAATGGTATAATACAAAACGAAGGAAAGGCTAAGTATTGTAAGTAGCAATTTACTATTACAGCTCTAAGTGACAATACCAGACTTATTATTGACGTTGTTGCAACTCTTAGCTATAAAAAATCCTGA